TTATGTAGAGTCCGTTCTCTCCTTCCTTATGGACAGAGTCAGTTCTCTCCTTCCTTATGTAGAGTCCGTTCTCTCCTTCCTTATGTAGAGTCCGTTCTCTCCTTCCTTATGTAGAGTCAGTTCTCTCCTTCCTTATGTAGAGTCCGTTCTCTCCTTCCTTATGGACAGAGTCCGTTCTCTCCTTCCTTATGTAGAGTCCGTTCTCTCCTTCCTTATGGACAGAGTCCGTTCTCTCCTTCTATGATGTACAGAGTCAGTTCTCTCCTTCCTTATGGACAGAGTCAGTTCTCTCCTTCTATGATGTACAGAGTCAGTTCTCTCCTTCCTTATGGACAGAGTCAGTTCTCTCCTTCCTTATGGACAGAGTCCGTTCTCTCCTTCCTTATGTAGAGTCAGTTCTCTCCTTCCTTATGTAGAGTCCGTTCTCTCCTTCCTTATGTAGAGTCCGTTCTCTCCTTCCTTATGGACAGAGTCCGTTCTCTCCTTCTATGATGTACAGAGTCCGTTCTCTCCTTCCTTATGTAGAGTCCGTTCTCTCCTTCCTTATGGACAGAGTCCGTTCTCTCCTTCTATGATGTACAGAGTCAGTTCTCTCCTTCCTTATGGACAGAGTCCGTTCTCTCCTTCTATGATGTACAGAGTCAGTTCTCTCCTTCCTTATGGACAGAGTCAGTTCTCTCCTTCCTTATGGACAGAGTCCGTTCTCTCCTTCCTTATGTAGAGTCAGTTCTCTCCTTCCTTATGTAGAGTCCGTTCTCTCCTTCCTTATGTAGAGTCCGTTCTCTCCTTCCTTATGGACAGAGTCCGTTCTCTCCTTCCTTATGTAGAGTCAGTTCTCTCCTTCCTTATGGACAGAGTCCGTTCTCTCCTTCTATGATGTACAGAGTCCGTTCTCTCCTTCCTTATGTAGAGTCCGTTCTCTCCTTCCTTATGGACAGAGTCCGTTCTCTCCTTCCTTATGTAGAGTCCGTTCTCTCCTTCTATGATGTACAGAGTCAGTTCTCTCCTTCCTTATGGACAGAGTCCGTTCTCTCCTTCCTTATGGACAGAGTCCGTTCTCTCCTTCCTTATGGACAGAGTCAGTTCTCTCCTTCCTTATGGACAGAGTCAGTTCTCTCCTTCCTTATGTAGAGTCCGTTCTCTCCTTCCTTATGGACAGAGTCAGTTCTCTCCTTCCTTATGGACAGAGTCCGTTCTCTCCTTCCTTATGGACAGAGTCAGTTCTCTCCTTCCTTATGGACAGAGTCCGTTCTCTCCTTCCTTATGGACAGAGTCCGTTCTCTCCTTCCTTATGTAGAGTCAGTTCTCTCCTTCCTTATGGACAGAGTCCGTTCTCTCCTTCCTTATGTAGAGTCCGTTCTCTCCTTCCTTATGTAGAGTCCGTTCTCTCCTTCCTTATGTAGAGTCCGTTCTCTCCTTCCTTATGTAGAGTCCGTTCTCTCCTTCCTTATGTAGAGTCCGTTCTCTCCTTCCTTATGTAGAGTCCGTTCTCTCCTTCCTTATGTAGAGTCCGTTCTCTCCTTCCTTATGTAGAGTCCGTTCTCTCCTTCCTTATGTAGAGTCCGTTCTCTCCTTCCTTATGGACAGAGTCAGTTCTCTCCTTCCTTATGGACAGAGTCAGTTCTCTCCTTCCTTATGTAGAGTCCGTTCTCTCCTTCCTTATGGACAGAGTCAGTTCTCTCCTTCCTTATGGACAGAGTCCGTTCTCTCCTTCCTTATGGACAGAGTCAGTTCTCTCCTTCCTTATGGACAGAGTCAGTTCTCTCCTCCATTATGGACACGATTCTGGGTATTGAACTCAGGTCGTCAGGCTTGACAGCAAGTCCTTTATTTACTCACTGAGCCATCTCACTGTCCCGCAAACATTTTTTAAAAAATTACTAATTTTGTTTTATGTGCATTGGTGTTTTGCCTATGTGTATATCTGTGTGAGGGTGTCAGAACCCCTGGAACTGCAGTTACAGACAATCTTAAGGTGCCATGTGCGTGCTGGGAATTGAACCCGGATTCTCTTGAATATCAGGAGTGTTCTTAATTACCTAGCCATCTCTCCAGTCCTCGCCCTCAAACATCTTTTTTTTTTTTAAATTTATTTATTTATTATGTATACAGTATTCTGCCTGCATGTATCCCTACAGGCCAGAAGAGGGCACCAGATCTCATTACAGATGGTTGTGAGCCTCCATGTGGTTGCTGGGAATTGAACTCAGGACCTTTGGAAGAGCAAGCAGTGCTCATAACCTCTGAGCCATCTCTCCAGCCCGCCCTCAAACATCTTTAAAAATTATTTTATTATTGTGTGGGTTTCCCGTGTATGATGTGTGTATGAGCTCTGGCACATGAGTGAACGTAAGGCCAACTGTGGGGAGTTAGTTCTCTGTTTCCACAGTGGGATCTGGGATTGAACTCAGGCTGTCCAGGTTGTGAAGCAAGGGCTTGTACACTGAGCTGTCTTGCTGACCCCCAAACATCCTTTTCTCACCTCAGAGGACAGTCTCATGTAGTCTAGGCTGGCCTCAAACTTGCTGTGTATCAGAGGATGCTCTTGAACTTTTGAGCTTCCTGTCTCTCTTTCCTGAGTGCTGGGATTACTGGTGTATGTAATCCGGTTTATACAGTGCTGGGGATTCCACCTAGGGCTTCATCCATGATAGCCAGTACTCTACCTACCGAGCTACATCCCCAACGCTAGATGCAAACATCTTGATGTATACTTTTATTTATTACCCCCCCCCCCCAGTCTTTTCATGGGATCTTTATAATTCAGTAGCTTCAAGATAGCCAGATTTAAAAAAAAAAAAAAAAAAGTCTGAGCCGGGCGATGGTAACGCACGCCATTAATCCCAGTACTCGAGAGGCAGAGACAGGCCGATCTTTGTGAGTTCAAGGCCAGCCTGGTCTACAGAGCAAGTTCTAGGACACACTCCAAAGCCACATAGAGAAACACTGTCTCAAAAAAAAAAGATAAATAAAATATCTGTGCTCCCTCCCAATGTGTGTGTTCTGAGAGGCAGAGACAGAAGGGGAGGAAACATGGAGGGATGAGTTTGTGGACAGTTTGGAGCTGTGCTGAAGCTGTATTGCCATTTTATTTTGTTTTGTGTTTGAGACAGGTCCTAACTATACAACCCAGACTAGCAGTGATTCAAGATCCTCTTGCCTCAGCCTCCAATGTTCTGGGATTACCAAGTGTGCTACCGTGCCTATCCACTATATTGGCTTTGTAGATTAGCTTTGGAAGTCACAGGCCTGCTGAGATTCAAGTGGAAGGAATTTTGATGTCTCATGGCTATTAGTATCACAATATAAGATGACCATGTAGTGTGGGCAATATTGATAGGGCTATTCTTGGAAAATACGTTATATATTGAACCGCCTAAAGCTTCTGTCTTACTCCTGTTGTTTCCTAATTGAAATAGGAAGTGGTAGGTCTGGTGGAGCCAGCCTGTAGTCCCAGCTCCCCCAGAAGCTGAGGCAGAAACATAGATGATTAAGTACCTGCCTGTGCTATTGAGTGAGTTTAATTTCAACCTATGTAACTTAGTAAGACCTTGCTTCAAATTAATGAATTAACAGAAGGGTAGAGATATGGCTCAGTTAGTAGTAGAGTAATTGCCTCTCATGCATGAGGCCCTGAGTTTGATTCCCCAGCAGTATACAAAATTGAAGTAAGTGCTTTAGAGATACTATTTTTTGCAAGTGAAGAATTACAAAGAAATACTTTTTAATACAGAAAAGCAATAAATAGCAAGTTACTGGTGCTCAGGAAGATTAGCTATCCCTTAGTGATGTAAGCTGGTGATGTAAGAACTGAGGTATACTTTCTTTAAATTTATTCTATCCTCCTGACTTAGGCTTTCTCCTCAGAGAAATACTTACAGATGAAAGATAAGTTGATATTAGTGCTTTTTGAGGAGGAGGGTGTTGGTAATTGAACCTAGGGCCTCATGTACATGCTCTGCTGGTACTCTGCTACCGAACTGGCCCTCCTTTTAAGCAATTATTGTTTGTTATTTAATACTTAGTTATTTATAAATTTTAGGTATTTAAGTTTTAAACAAATGATATCTAACTTGTTGCATTTCATGCTTCCATTTTTAAAGTTTAGCTATCATGATATATCATCATATATATATGAGGTACAAAAGTTATAAAGTACCTGGTGTAGTGGACAGAAGCCTGGAATCCTATCTCATGGGAGGCAGAGACAGGAGGATTGTCACAAGTTTAATGCCAGCCTGGTCTGTGTAGTAAGTTCCAGGCCAGCTGGGGCTACATAGAAAGACCCTTTCTCAAAAAACAGACAAAAAAGAAAGAAAATGAATGATCAGGACCCTCAGTTTAGGAGGATTATGCAGTTTGAAGAAGACAGCTATATAGACAGATAACTGTGATATGGTACGAGTAATATAAATAATTTAAAATAAATGTGTTAAGCACTCACACACAGAGAAAGGAGTGGCTTCAAGTCAGGATGATGTTTACTTTATGAAGATAATTTTCGGCCAAGTCCAGAGTATTTCATAACAAGAAATACAGGGGAGAGCATCCTAGGCTGAAGAAATAATATATAAAAGCAGCTAGAGATAGAAAATAATGCAGCATGCCTGAAGAAAGTTTAGCAACTCCATAAAGTTGAGTTAGAATTTAAATCTGTGGGTGATGGGAAACAGCCCTGAATGTATAGAGTTTTACTTACAAGTGCCGGATGCTGCTACTGCATTTTGTACAGTCGTGAATAGCTTTGTGCGTTACAGAACTATAGCTTGCATTAGACAGGCTAGAAGGGAAGGAGACCAGGCAAGAGAATAGTGTGATTTCTTCACTTACCTGATCTTATGCTCGTGAGGAGATAGTTTTCGTACAACTGTATTTGATTACTTATACATTAAGAATTGAATTGAAACCTTCAAAACTATTAGAATATTTATGTAGCGCAATAGACAGCACCTCTGTTAGTCGACTCAGTTAAACTAACGATTTTCTTGTCCTGGTTTCAGATAACAAAGTTGTTAGCTGTGAAGTCAGAGGATGTTCTTGCTCAGCCACCGTTGTCCCAGCTCAGAGGCTCAGAGTGCTGGAAGCTCCCGAAGGGGGTAAATTAACTTTTAAAGTATATTGTTTTGTTTGATATGTTTAAAATACCTTAGTAAATAAATTTTTATTTTCTTGTGTGTCCCTTTTGATTTTCTGTGTAACTAAAGATTTTATAGAAGCTTATCTCTGATATATGTTAAAATAAAACTTGGAGATTAGGATCTTGGGTCTTCAGTTTAAGTATACCTTATGCATGGTTGATTTATGGAATTTAAATCTCATTATTATACAATTAATCATTTTAAGGTCACTAAAATTTTAGGTTTAGTAAAATTATTTGTTCTTTTCTAATTTTTAAAAATTAATTTGTTTGAGAGGGTATCTCCCCCCCCCTTTTTTTTCTCCCTTTTTGGTTTTTTGAGACAGGGTTTCTCTGTGTGGTCCTAGCTGTCCTGGATCTCACTCTGTAGACCAGGCTGGCCTCAAACTCAGAGATCACCTGCCTCTGCCTCCGGAGTGCTGGGATTAAAGGTGTGCGCCACCACCCCTGGCAAAAGGGTATCTCTTAGTTGGTGCTATAACTGTGTTTCAAAAGATACTCTGGGCTGGAGAGATAACTCAATGGTTGAAAGCACTAGTTACTCTTCTAGAGGACTCGGGTTCAGTTCCCAGCACTGCCATGATGGCCCACAATTGTCTCTAACTCCATTCCAGGGGACCCTCTTCTTGCCTCTGCAATCGTTAGGCATGGTACATAGTGCACAGACATACATGAGTACCAAATACTCATATATATAAAACAAATAGATAAAACTTAAAGGGATGTATTTTTAAAAGATTATGATTATAATCTGGGCTTTACTATTGTCATGATCAGTTTTATTGGTGTAGGGTTCTGATAATTAAGAGTTACCTATAGTAGCCTTTTATTAGTTTTGCTGTTTGAGATGGGGTCTGACTATGTTGCCTAGACCGGGATCCCCTTCCTCAGCATCCTGAGTATCTGGGACCACAGTCACGCACTACTGCAGCTGGCTCCTCACTGCTTTCTTTTTTGAGGCAGTCTCACAAAGTAGCCCAGGCTGGTTTTACATTCTTAAACTTCCTGTTTCAGCCTCCTAAATACTGCCACCATGCTATATGTGTATGTGCCTTGGGTTATGTGTGTGTGGGTGTGGATACATGTGTATGCAGAGGCCACATGACAACTTCATTTGTCTCCCTCGGGTGCTGTCTGCCTTTCTTTTAAAATGGTCTGGAACTCACCATGTAGGTTAGGCTGGCTGCCTAGGGACCCCCAGCGATCCCCTGGTGCCAGGATTGCAAATACATGCCACCACCCCTCCTTGAAAATGTGGGTTCTGACATTGCATTCTGGTCCTAGTGTTTGCAAGACAGGCAGGCTCTTTATCTACTGAGCTATTTCCAGTCCCCTGGCCATTTAAAAAAAGATACAACTAATTAGTTTCTTTTTTTTTTTTTTTTTTTGGAGACAGGGTTTCTCTGTGTAGCTTTGGAGCCTGTCCTGGATCTCGCTCTGTAGCCCAGGCTGGCCTGGAGCTCGCAGAGATCAGCCTGGCTCTGCCTCCCTAGTGCTGGGATTAAAGGCATGCACCACTACCGCTTGGCTCTAATTAGTTTCTTTTGCTTGAAGTAATTTATGATTGTTTTTCTTTTGTTCTTTTTTTGTAGTGAGGCTTGAACCTAGGCCTTGCACTTTCTAGGGAAGTGTTCTACCACTGAAGTATACCCCAGTCCTTTTCTTTACTTTAAAAAATTCAAGACAGGCTCTTGCTAAGTCACTTAGGCTGGCCTTGAACTCACACTGTTGCCTAGGCAGGCCTTAAATTCTTGATCTTCCTGTCTCAGCTTCCTGATCGGAAGGGATTATACACTTGAACCACCAGGCCAAACGAGTTTTTTTAAAAATAGAATTTTTCCCAGATTCCAGTTTATTTATTTCTAGCTGTTTTAGTTCTAGGGCTACCATAATGCTACAGACCGGATGGTTTAAGTATTTTCTCACAGTGGTGAGTCTGGAACTGAAAGACGATGGTGATGGCTGGGCTGGTTTTACTTAATCCCTCTTTACATCTGCGTGGACAGCTGTGTTATTGTTCTCTCCACTTCCTGGTTAGCACCTGTCTTAGTCACTGTTCTATTGTTTTGAAGAGACACCATGATCAAAACAACTCTTAGGAAAGAAAGCATTTAATTGCTGGGCAGTGATGGCGCACGCCTTTAATCCCAGCACTGGGGAGGCAGAGCCAGGCGGATCTCTGTGAGTTCGAGGTCAGCCTGGTCTACAGAGCAAGATCCAGGACAGGCACCAAACCTACACAGAGAAACCCTGTTTAACCTTAACTATTATTATTTTTTGAAACAGAGTTATAATTTATTATGGAATTTTAAGGAGTAGGGCTAAGAGAAAGAAAGATGCTCAGGGAGGAAGTAGACACACTTGAGAATGTAGCTGAGGGATTCTCAAAGGATAATAACCTAACATTAATTACATTTTAAAAGGCTTTATTTCATATATAGTAATTCTGGATGGTAGGGTTTCAACCTATGATTTTTGTAGGGACTGACTTTTCGTTTTTTGTTTTTTTGTTTTGAGACAGAGTCTCTCTATGAAGATCTGGCTGTCCTGGAACTCACTATATAGACCAGGCTGGCCTACAACCTACAGAAATCTGCTTGCCTCTGCCTCACAAGTGCTGGGATTAAAGGCTTTTGCCACCACGCATGGCTGTAGGGACTGTCTTAGTTACTGAGATTCCCCTCCCCCCACCCCTGGCCTCAGCAGTTATTGACAGATTTGACCTATTTTTAACACATGTAAATCCACTTTTTTTTTTTTTTTTTTGGTTTTTCGAGACAGGCTTTCTCTGTGTAGGTTTGGTGCCTGTCCTGGATCTCACTCTGTAGACCAGGCTTTCCTCGAGCTCAGAGATCTGCCTCGCTCTGCCTCCTGAGTGCTGGGATTAAAGGTGTGCACCACCACCGCCCGGCCCATAAATCCACTTTTTAAAGCTTCATTTCAGTACGTATTTAAATGTCGTATTTGTGTGTGTGTGTGTGTGTGTGTGTGTGTGTGTGTGTGTATGTGTATAAGTATGCATATTGCCATGGTGCATGTGTGGAGGCCAGAGGACAATTTTCAGGGGTCAGTTCTCTGTTTCAATTACAGGTTTTATGGATTAAGCTTAGTTTGTCTGGTTCGCCCAGCAAGTGCTTTACATGCTGAATTCTCTTACCAGCATTTCCATATATTTTTTTTTTTACTGATACACAATAATTATACATATTTATGAGATACATTCTGGCTTTCAATACATGTATATGGTTAGATTATGCCTGTTTTTTTTTACTTCAAGCATACTTCTTTGTGTCGGGAATGTTAAAAAACCCATCTACACCAGGCATGGTGGCACATGCCTTTAATCCCATGACTTAGGAGGCAGAGGTAGGCAGGTCTCTGTGAGTTTGAGGCTAGCCTGGTGTACATAGTGAGTTCCATGGAAGCTAGAGCTACATGGTGAGACCCTGTCTCAAAAAGCCAAAAGGAAATGAACAAACAAACAAACAAAAAACCATCTATGAGCCCAGTTAATTGAAATATTCAACTAATTGTCGTCAACTATAGACATCTTCCTATGCTGTTGAACATTACAAGCAATTTCTCATACTGAACTGCATCCTAGTACCTTTTAGCCATCTATTGCTCCATCTCCCATACCCTTCGCAGGATCTGGTAACAGATATTCTATTTTTTGCTTCTTGAGATTACCTTTTTGGTGTCTACATGTATTTTTTTTTTGATAACATCAAATAGAAATAGTGTTGCAGCCAGTGTCATGTATATGTATGAAGCAGGAAGAGTGGGACTTTTTAGGAAATTGTATATTAAATTTCAATAAATGTTACAAAATGGTCTCACAGAAAATTGGGACCAGTTTATGTTGCCACCAGTGAGAGCATTAATTTCGCTACAAACTTAACAGCCCTGGGCACCATCATAACAATGGCTGATGTTGGTGGTCAGGTTGACTCAATTGAGAACCGCTAAGGAGATGAGAAAAGCACACCTCTGGCTGTGTCTGTGAGGGAGTTTCCAGTGACGGCTCTCAAGGATCAGTGGATGGATTAGTGCCTTGATGGACTCATAATTTGGTGGCATTACTGGGAGAAGGTGAAAAGTAAGAGGTGGGGGTTGGTTGGATAAAGTAGGTCACTGGCGATGTTTCTTGGGAGTCTGCATATCCCCCTGGCTTTTACCCATCTTTACTTTCTCTGTTCTTCCCACCACACCTTTCCTGCTCTGATAGATTGACACTTCTGAAACCTTAATACACAGAAGGCATTCCTCTCTTTAAGATGTTCTGTCAGGTATTCTGGTCACAAATATGCAAAGTGATACTTACAGTCACAGTAAAATGGTTGTCAGTTTGAAAGGTGTAGAAAAGTAATCTTGTTTGTTTTGCTTTGGTAGCGGCTCACAGTAGCCCATGTTCATTTGTTAGAAACAGCTTTAAACCTGTTACCATTGTGTACATCCGGCATCCCCTTCTTTTCCATGTCAGATTTCTAGATCTCTCTGAGTGTCTAAAAGAAGTGGTGGTGGGGTAGTGGCAGTTTACCCCTCCGTCCATGGCAGAATTGCTTTTCTTCTCATTCCATTTCTTTGCAGGGGCCATTTGTTTGGCTCAGTTTGGGAAGAAAGAGCTCTCGGGATTATGGGATTGCTTTTCAAGATTAGCCATCACTCGAAAACCTACTTTGAATAAAAAGACATTTTTTTCCCCCTGTGTGTATATGTCCATGGTGGGGCATGCAAGTTCTAGAATGTGCATGCAGAGGTCAGAGGGCAACTTTGTGGATGGAGTCTGTTCTTTTCTTCCACTTTAATGAGGGATCTGGGGATTGAACTGAGCATACCAAGCTAGCACAGCACATGCTGTCACAGAGCCATCTCACCAGCCTGCTGTGCCTTGAGGGCAGGGTAGCCTAGAACTCACCATGTAGCCCACACTGGCCTGGAACTTGTAGTAGTCATCTT